AGAACAGTCCCTGTTCCTATAAGCCAAGCAAGTCTAACCTACTGGTGTGTGACTACCCCCAGGAATGCCATGCTCACTGGCCTTGTGTCTTGCAGGAACGTAGTCAGTGGGATGTGCAGATGGGTCTGTTCAGGCTGCAGGCAGAGACATGGTCAGCAAACAGGCAAAGGATTGGTCCAGGGAGCAGACAAAAATGCAGTCCATAAACAAGCCAGGGTTAGTGCAGGCAGTGGCAACACTGTGTTGGTTTGGTGGTGATCAGGGGCAATGTGTCCAATGACACAGCAGATCACCGGTAAATGCAGTTGCTGGTTATCGGCTGCACTTTCACCCACCTGTGCCCAGCAGTGCCGTCAGCCAGTGCCCATCAGTGCAGCCTCATTAACGCACATCAAGTGAAGGAGAAAAATGACCTGTTTGCAAAATTTTATAATAGAAACAAAGAACTTTTTATTTTTTTTCAAATGTTTTGCTCTTTTTTTTGTTTTGTTTATAGTGCAAAAAATAAAAGGCCAATTGGCGATTAAATACCACCAAAAGAAAGCTCTGTGTGAAAAAAATGATAATTTCATATGGGTACAATGTTGCATGACCGCTCAATTGTCATTCAAAGTGTGACAGCGCTGAAAGCTGAAAATTGGCCTGGGCAGGAAGTGGGTATAAGTGCCCAGTAGGCAAGTGGTTAAACAACAAAATCCTAATTAACAAGAATTCAACTACAGCTGAGTCTAATTATTCATTAACAAGGTGTCCAGCAGACATTTGATTATAAAAGGAGGTGTTACTTAACCCCTCGCCTACAGGGCACTTATACCCCCTTCCTTACCAGGCCAATTTTCAGCTTTCAGCGCTGCCGCACTTTGACAATTGCGCGGTCATGCAACATTGTACCCATATGAAATTTTGATCATTTTTTTCTCACAAATAGAGCTTTCTTTTGGTGGTATTTAATCGCCACTGGGCGCTTTACTTTTTGCGCTATAAATTAAAAAAAAGTGCAAAAAATTAGAAAAAAAAAAAAAAGTTTATTTGTTTCTTTTATAAATTTTTCAAACAGGTATTTTTTCTCCTTCACTGATTTGCGTTGATGAGGCGGCACTGATAGGCGGCACTGATGGGCACTGATAGGCAGCACTAAAGGGCACTGATAGGCAGTACTAATGAGGTGGCACGGATAGGCGGCACTGATAGACAGCACTAATTAGGGGTCACGGATAGGCGGCACTGATATGCAGCACTGATAGGCGGCACTGATAGGTGACACTGATGATGGGTACTGATAGACGGCACTGACTGGCATCACTTCTTGGGCACTGACTGGCGGCACTGACTGGCACAACCCCTGGGCACTGACTGGTGGCACTGACTGGCGGCACTGGTGGGCAGCACTGGTGGGTGGCACTGGTGGGCACAGGTGGGTGGCACTGGTGGGTGGGCACAGGTGGGTGGCACTGCTGGGCACATGTAGGTGGCACTGCTGGGCACAGGTAGGTGGCACTGCAGAGTGGCACAGGTGGGGGCACTGCTGGGCACAGGTGGGGGGCACTGCTGGGCACAGGTGGGGGCACTGCTGGGCACGGGTGGGGGCACTGCTGGGAACGGGTGGTGGGCGGGGCTAGTGGGCGCACTGCTGGGCGGAACTTGCGGGTGTCACTGCTGGGCACCGATCATCAGGGCACTGATCATCAGTGCCGATCCCCGCTCTGACAACTGCCGGTTCTCGGCAGTACTTTCCTCACGATCTGACAGCGTGAGGAAAGTGCAGCCGAGAACCGGCACTTGCATTTCCCTGTGATCAGCGTGTCATTGGACACCGCTGATCACGTGGTAAAAGGCCGGTGGGATCGGCCTTTCACCACATCACGTGATCAGCTGTGTCCGTAGGACACAGCGATCACGGAGATCGCCGGGTGCGCGCCCCCCTGGGGCGCGCAGGAGAGCGCGTTCTGGGAGGACGTCATATGACGTCCACTCAGAACTGGCCGGCCGCGGTGAAGCCGTCATTCGGCTATGCGCGGTCGGCAAGAAGTTAACAAAGAAAACCCCTTCCCATTTCATGCTGTCAGTAATGGCACCACATGGAAGAGAAATGTCACAAGGCCTTTGAAAGAGAAAATAATTTCTTTACACAAGAAAGGTGAAGGTTACAAGAAAAGCAAAGCTGTACTTGTCAGTCAGAATACTGAAGCAAAAGTGATACAAAATGTAACATAAATGGAACTGCAACCATCTCACAAAGATGTCCAGGCCATCCACAGAAGTTAACACCTCGAGAGGAACTTCTTCTAAGGGTTGAAGACAATTGCCATGCAAGTTCACTACAGTTAGCAAAATAAGTAGAAAGCCAAACTGGGGTGATTGTTTCCCGTGACACAATACGGTGTACACTGCAGAGGAATGGCATGTATGGGTGTTGTCCACGAAAAAAGCCACTCCTAAAGCCCATACACAAAAAGACCGGCATAGAATTTGCCTGGGCCCATGCTGATAAAGACCTACTGGGACTCTGTACTCTGGAGTGATAAGACCAATATAAATATTTTTGGAACTGATGGCTTTAAAACGTATGGCATTGCAAAGGTGAGGAGTACAAAGAAAGATGCATGGTGCCTACAGTGAAACATGGTGGTGGCAGTATGCTTCTGTGGGGCTGCATGAGTGCTGCTTGTGTCGGGAGCTGCATTTCATTGATGGTATCATGAAATCACGGATATACTGCTCTATATTGAAAGAGAAGATGCTACTATCACTCTGTGCCTTTGGTTGTCGTGCACTTTTCCAACATGACAAAGATCGAAAACACGTATTTAAGGCCACTGTTGCATTTCTGAAGATGTACAGGGTGAAAGTGATTCAGTGGCTAAGTATGTCTCCTGATCTGAAACCAATAGAACACCTATGGGGAATTTTGAAGAGCAAAGTTGAGCATCACTCTGCATCCAGGCTCTTGAAGAATGGAAAAAGATCGATGTTTCAATATGTCGCCAATTTGTTCATTCCATGCCTAGAAGACTTGGTCCTTGCAAATTATAGAGGTCATACAAAATACTGGATGTATTAGTTTTTGTTGTGGAGTGGATTCATTTTGCATCAACTAACTTGAATAAAACTGAAGATTTTGTAATCTAAGTTGTATTATTAACCTTACTTTCATGTAATGAGCTAAACAAATATTCTATAAAACTCAGTTTTGTAAACATTTTGGAAATTGTTCTTGTGTCCATTGAGATATTGATTATAATCTTACTTTTCAGAAGGGGTGTACTCATTTATGCTTAGCCTTGCATGTGTGTGTATGTAAAAGATTGTATTTATTTTCTGCATTGGAATACATGCCTGTGCATCCTTTCATAAAAATACGATAAGGGGATATAATTCTGATGAACCTTTTTAGGTATATTGGCTTACTGGTGCCTGGGGGTTGTGGATATTATATAAAATGTGCTTTAAGTTTACAGTGTGATATAGGGGCAAAAAGCTTTGGTCCTTATTGGTTAATTTTAAAATGTAATTTTTTTTTAAATTAAAATTACAAACATGTTATACTTGCCTGCTCTTTGCAATGGTTTTGCACAGAGCAGTCCTATTCCTCCTATTCTCAGGTCCCTCACCGGCACTCCTGGCTACTCCCCAGTGCTACCCCGAGGGCCCCCCACAGCAAGCTGCTTGCTATGGCGGTTCTTGTGCATGCTCACTCCCAAGCCCCACTCTGTGTCTCCATAAGATACACAGACTGGGGCTTAGCCCCAATGCTTCCTGTATTTGAGCCAGTGATGAGTGAGCCAAAAGAGCCTTGGCTCCCGTGCATACCGCTGGATCAAAACCGGGCACAGGCGTTTATTTAGGGGGTGGCTGCTGGGTGGAGGTCTGCATGCAGAAGGTTTTTTGCCTTACTGCATAGAGCTAAGCCAAACATGAATGTAAAATACCACACATGTTTTTATTTTATTTTAGGTTAACCACTTCCTGCCCGCCATATAGTAATATGACGGACGCAAAGCGGTTCTCGCGTTCTGAGAGGACGTCATATGACATCCTCCCATTCTGTTTCAATATTTTTATTAGGAAAGTTTTGATTTTTAAGAATATAACAAGCTCAAACTACGCCCTCGCAGGGGCAGAGCAGAACAGTAACATATAAACAGGGACATCCTGCTGACTTGTATTAGTCAAATAACAAAAAGTCTGATGACATCAAGAAGGGACGGCAAACCGCCGAGCCAAATAGCAGCAGTAATCCAACATAATATTGGAAAAAAGAGAAAAGAGGTTAGAAGAAAAGAAAAAATAAAACAAATGGGAATCAGAAAGAAAACAAGAAAGAAGGGAAATTAAAGGGATCACGGATCCGGGGCTAGCAGCAGCAGCGACTATAGGAGGCAGGGATGGTAAGGAATAACATATCCAAGGTTCCCAAACCTTAAGAAATCTTGGATGAGAATCATGAAGAATGCTAGACATCTGCTCATTGAACAACATAGCATTCATCTGGGTCCTCACCTCTTGGAAGACTACCGAAGGGATGCTCCAAGCTTGAGCTATAGAACGTTTGGCCAAAATGAATAGGTAGGATGCCAATTTCTGTTGAGACCTAGACAGACCCAAAATTGGGCAATGCAGGAGGGCCACCCTTGCATCCCTATGGACCGTAATATGTAATAACGTTTGAAGCAAGCCGAAAACCCTACACCAGAAGCCTATCAATCGTGGGCACGACCATGAAATGTGCATGACGTCCCCACGTAGACCACCGTTCCGGAAACACCTATCTCCACCAGTCGGATTAAAGTAAGCAGTTCGAGCCGGGACCCAGTACCACCGTAGTGGAACTTTGTAGGCTGTCTCAAGAGTGACTGTATTAGACGTCATCCCGTTCTAACCTGCGAATGCGCGGCTCCCGCAGCATGGCGATCGGTGGTGCTCTGTGTCCCTCGGACACAGCAGGTCACCGATCCACGGAAAGAGCCGAAGATGTCGGCTTGGTCATGTGATCAGCTGTGTCCAATCACAGCTGATCACATGTAAACTGGGAAATGCTGGTTATCGTCCTTTCTCTCCTCTTGAGCTGTCACGCTGACAGCTCGTGAGGAGAGGAGAGCCGGTAATCGTCATTGTAGCCTTAGCAGTGCCAGCTGTTGGTGCTCATCAGTGCCATGTGCCAGTGCCACATATCAGTGCCTACCAGTGCACATCAATGCCACATATCAGTGCCCATCTGAGCTGCCTTTCAGTGTCACCCATCAGTGCCACCTATCAATGCTGCCAGTCAGTGCCGCATATCAGTGCTGCCTTTCAGTGTCCATCAGTGATGCCTGTCAATGCCCATCACTACAGCCTCATTAGCGCACATCAGTGAAGGAGAAAAATCACTTATTTACAAAATTTTATAACAAAAACTAAAACATTTTTTTTTTTCTTCAAAATTTTCAGTGGTTTTTGGTTTGTTTAAGAAAAAATAAAAAAACCAGAGTTGATTAAATACCACCAAAATAAAGCTCGATCTGTCACAAAAAAATGATAAAAATTTCATATGGGTTCAGTGTTGCATGACCACACAATTGTCAAAGTGCAACAGCGCTGAAAGGTGGAATTTGGCCTCGGCAGGAAGGGGGTATAAATGCCCTGTAGGCTTGTGGTTAAATAACCATAGCTCACATAGGCTTACAGACCAGCTTGTCAGTCATTCTGTAAGCCATGTAAACATTGTTTTCAAGATTTACGACTATACTTGGATGTTTTCCCATTTGTAGTGGAAAGCTTCTGAATAAGGCAGGATTAATCCTCGAGTTAAAGGGCCAGACATAGTGTTCCTTTACCATGTGATCAGTTGTCCAGTCGCAGCTGATCACTTTGTAAACAGGATTTGCCGGTTATTGGCCATCCTCTTCTCATGATGACAGCATGAGGAGAGCGGGTAAACCACAATCCACATAGGAGACATCTACACTGATCATCTACACCGATCGCGCAAAAAAAGTGCAGGACACGCAATGCCCAAAAAAATGGTTCTGGAATCTTTTTTGGGCATTGCATGCCCCTCGTTTTTGTTTGCGTGATCGCTGCGCATTTGTCATTGGCGGTTTTTGTGTTTTCTCCCTGGTTTACGCCAACGCAGTTTGTTTTGTCTGTTTTTGCAGTGCTTTTTGCATGCACATTTTTGACACATTTTGATGAGTTTTGCGGTTTTTAATGTATTTTGAACTTGTTGCTGGGCAAGTAAAAAAACTCAAAGCGCATCAAAAACTCTACATGCATTTTTGATGCGTTTTTTTCTGCATTTTAAATGCATTTCAGGCCTGTTTCACACCAGTGCAGTTTGTGTTTTGTCTGTTTTGCAGTGCGTTTTGTGTTTTTGCTTGCACGTTTTTGATGCATTTTGTGATGCGTTGTGTTTTTTGTGGGTGTTTTTGGCCAACTTGTTGATAAGCAGATTAAAAATACAAAACTCATCAAAAACGCAACACGTGGGTGTTTTTGTTGCATTTTCAATACATTTCAGACCTGATTCTCACCAACACAGCGATTTTGTTTATTTTGAAGTGCGTTTTTGCACATGCGCTTTTGTTTTTTTTTTTTCTTTGGCCAACTTGTTGCTGGAGAGATTAAAAACACAAAAAAACGCAACACGTGTGTTTGTGATGCATTTTTGATACGTTTTCAATGCATTTAACGCCTGTTTCACACCAGTGCAGCATGCATTTTGTACGCTTCGCAGTGCATTTGCACTTTGTACATTTTTGATGCGTTTTGTGTTTTTCTTTTTTTTTAAAGGTTTTTTTTTTTTTTTTCTGTTCGCCAACTTGTGAAAACTGCATGCACTGTGTTTTCTGCAGCATTTCCATTGAAGTCCGTTGAACCAAAAATGCCATGTTTTGCATTTAAAAAAAGTTCCTGACCTTTTCTAAAAACGCTGCAGCTCACAAAAGCATAGGTGTGAACCTGTCCTATAGGATACCATGTGAAATGGACTGTAGTGCGTTTCTGCAAAAACAGCCCTAAAAAACCGCATTGGTGTGAACCGGGCCCCAATGCGAAGGTGCGATTTTGGTGCTTTTTCTAAAATTGAATTCAAAGGGATGGATTTTTCTCTTCACGTGCCCTTTTTTTTTTTTTTTTTTTTGTGCAGAAGCGCTACAAAAACTGCTCAGTGTGAAAGCAGCCTATTGGCCAAACATGTGCTGAAAATAATTCATATTAATTAAAAGGTTTAATACAAAAAGAAAAAAAAATTTTTATAAAAATAATATATATATATATATATATATATATATATATATATATATATATATATATATATATATATATATATATATATACATACACACACACACTGTCTATTTCGGGTTTCGGCCAAATTCATTTTTGGTTTCAGTCCAACATCGCCAATATCAAACCCGCTCTGCAGGCCAGAGTACTTGGTGTCATTCTGGACTCCAACCTATCCTTCCAGCCCCAAGTCCAATCTTTAACAAACTCGTACAGACTTCACCTCCGCAACATCGCCAAAATCCGCACGTTCCTAACCCCAGAAACCACTAAACAGCTCATCCACTCCCTCATCATATCACGACTCGACTACTGCAACTCCCTCCTTACTGGCCTGCCTCGCCGCTGGCTATCCCCGCTTCAGTCGATCCTGAATACGGCTGCCAGACTCATTCACCTTTCCAACCGCTCCATTTCCGCCACCCCCCTCTGCCAATCCCTCCACTGGCTTCCGATTGTGCAACGGATCAAATTTAAAATCCTAACACTGACGTACAAAGCTGTCCACCATACTGCCCCGAACTACATCACTGACCTAATATCCAAGTACCGCCCCAGCACGCACGCTCCGCTCCTCACAAGACCTCCTTCTCTCTAGTTCCCTGGTCTCCTCCTCCCATGCCTGCCTCCAGGACTTCTCCAGGGTGTCACCCATCCTCTGGAACTCCCTTCCCCAACCCATCAGATTATCACCTACTCTCCTCTCCTTTAGGCGCACCCTGAAAACCCATCTCTTCAGGGAAGCCTACCTCACCCCCTGCTAACTTGCTGACCTCCTCCACTCTTCCTACCACTCCATCCCCCCACAGCTATCTCCTCCTGTACCACTATCCCATCCCTTCTAGATTGTAAGCTCGAAAGAGCAGGGCCCTCGATCCCCTCATGTTTTGCATTGTATTGGTATTGTTCTGTCACATGTTCTGTCCCCCTTTGTAATGTACAGCGCCGATTGAACTATTGGCGCTTTATAAATACTGTATAATAATAATATAATAATTTTGGTGCACCACTATTTATAATCACTTTAATTAGAGCCATCAATTGCTCTTTGAACTATTTGATTGTGAAAAGTGCTTTGAGGAGAACTTTCTATGCATTGCCAAAACTAACAATACCTGAAGATTCCCCAGGGGAGACCCATTGTCTCTAGTGTTGGTAGTCTTGCTGAAAAAGTTAGTAGGATAGTGGGTTCTCCTTTGAAACCTAACATTTAGAAGTCTCCCTTCCTACACAATATATTATAGATCTACTACAAACACTAGAGGCAATCTCATTTCCATGAGGTTCCCTCCTAGTGGCTTTTAACAAGGAGGCAATTTACTGTTAAGGGACTGCAGGCAGTGAAAACCTTTCTACAAGAGCAAGGACAAAAATCATTTAAATAAAATAAGTTTATACTGTTTTTTTGTTGATACACATTCTGATGAAGAACTTGTATTTTAGAAAACCTACTACCTCCAGTTAGAGTGGTAATGGGGACATTCTGTGCCCAGTCTTTTGCCAATTCTGTATAGCGATTCACATGTGATTTTGCGTGTCGGATAGGGCCAGCCCATTCACTTGAATGGGCTGCCCTAAGCGCCTTTATCTCACTACAAGAAGCTCAGAGATTTTGTCTGCAGCCCCAAATTAACATTAACAAGAAAAAAAGTTTCCCTTGGACTTTCTACTGAAGCATAAATGATTCAGAAAAATTGCAAATTAATATTAAAAAGAATTGCATCTTTATTTGTTCACGAAACATAGGAAATACTTAAAATATGAACTCTGGTACATAAAACAGTAGTAGGTTGGATAATGAAAAATAATAAGTAGTCGGCGTAACCTGCAACTTTATGTTCACCCTGTGCCCCCTTGGTTCTAATGTACACATTTAATTACAAAGGGCCATAACAAAATTTTTGTCAACAGCTTCAAGTCCACATTTAATAAAGAGATGGGACGGTAGTTGCTGCACTGTGTAGGGTCCTTTCCCTCCTTAGGGATAACCGTAATTTTATCCCAAAGGGTGTCAACTGATAGGGTTCCCCTTCTAAGATAGAGTTGAAGCCATCTGTGAATGGTTTGGCAAGTAGGTGTGAAAATTCCTTATAAGTGAGAGAAAACCCATCTGGGCCAGGGGCCTTGTGGAGTTTGGTGTCTTTTAGGGCCACTTACCATTCCTCAGCTGTAAGTGGTACAACCAGAGGTAACCCTTCATCCTCTGAAAGGCAAGGGAGCCCTGGTGTCTTCAAAAATTTGGTTATTCGGGCTCTTCGCTCCTGCAAGGCAGCAGGGTGTGTTGGAGGAATTGTGAAGATCTTTGTAGAAATCACAAAAACTCTTTGCTATTTCAACAGTGGTATGTATCGTAGCTCCTCTATCCGAGGCAATACTTGGAACATAAGAGCGAGCTTGCAATTTGTTCAATGCGTTTTCCAAGAGCCTGCCGGGCTTATTGCGCCATTCATAAAATCTGTGCTGGATTTTGGCTACATGTACCTTTTAGCTTTGTGGGGCAATAATTCGTTGAGCCTGTCCCTTGTTATCTGGAGGTCAGTGAGGGTGGAGGCAGCTAAAGATTTCTTATGTAGAGTTTCCAACCTTCTGAGTAGTAAACTCGTATGTTCCTTTTTAAGACTGGCTCCCTGAGAGATAAGTATACCTTGAATTGCGCATTTGTGCATCTCCCAGACTGCCATCGGAGGTGAGGAAGTAGCAGCATGGGTTTGAAAGAAGGCCCTAAGTTCCGTTCCCTCCAAAGATTTTGTTGTGGCGTCTTGTAGCAGGGACTCATTTACTTTCCACTGCCATACTTTAAGCGGGTTCGCCCCAAGAACAATGTCCATGCAGATTGGAGAGTGGTCGGCAAGATTGTGCATTGTAATTGAGTTTGCTTGCAATTGAGGCAGGTCTGAGTGATGAACGAGTTAGTGGTCAATTTTGGAGTATGATCCGTGCGTCACCAAGAAGTACAAATCTCTTTTCTTAGAGTGAAGTACGCGCCACACGTCAACCAGTTGCGCAGTATGCAGGGCCTGTTTGAATCAGCGTAGAAATGTGTATGAGTGATGAGGATTGTTGTGTGAAATATCCAGCAAGGGATCTGGTGCCATATTAAAATCTCCTCCAACCAGGAGAAACC